CTCTCTCTCTCTCTCGCTTCCGGCCTCTCTCTCTCTCTCTCTCTCTCTCTCTCTCGCGCGCGCGCGCTTCCGGTCTCTCTCTCTCTCTCTCTCTCTCTCTCTCTCTCTCTCAACCGCAACCTCACCGTTGCTTTAATCAAATAACGCCTTCCAACGGGGAACCTCCGCTAGGTGCCGTTTTACAAGCTTATTCTTCCAGCCTCTCTACAAATTGCGCTACCAACAAACAGACGAAACCATCGACCAATCTATCAACCAAATTTTTGCGAGTAACAACAGAGGAAACTATCAACCAATCAATCAACCGAGCGACTGCTCGACCCTCCACCCTCAAGGTGGTCTTATTCGGAAGAAACAGAAAATTCACTCCACCTGACGCTGCTGGAGGAACAAGCAAAATTAGGTAAAGACGGCCACAGTTGCATCCGAACCGACCACGCTGGAAGAGAGACTTCCATCGACCTTCCTCTATCACTGCGCAACTGACCAGAGCCTGCTCCCGAGAGGCAACGTCCTTGACATCAACAACTCAAATCAATCATCAAAACGAACGAATGGAAAAATGCACCCTCGTCATTATCATACGCACCCATGATTATAATCATCATCACAGTCATCGTCATCCGAGATAATAGATCACTGATACTTCAAAGAGGCCACATCGAAACCCGGCATATCAAAAGCTTTGGAGAAAACCTCGACCTCCTCTCGGAGGTCGATGATACTCTGATTGTTCTGCAAACCTTTGCTGAAGTCTCGCAGAAGCTTCCCATGTTCTTTCTGGATTGCCAGCGTAATGTTCACCGCCTTCTCCAAGAAATCGGCAATCGCCTCGAAATCACTTTCCTTGCAAGCTCGAGAGGTCATGGCGGGCGTGCCAAGCCGCACTCCTCCGGGAGCCAGCGCGCTGCTGTCCCCAAACACCGAGTTCTTGTTCAGAGTGATATGACAGAGCTCACACACCTTTTCCACCTTGTTCCCAGTAAGACCAAGGGGGCGAAGGTCCCAGAGCACGAGATGGTTGTCAGTCCCATCCGTGACCAGCTTGTAGCCCTTCTTCATCAGCGCGCTAGCGAGGGCTTTGGCATTTGCCTTCACCTGTTGCGAGTATGCTTTGAAGGCAGGAGAGAGAGCTTGTTTGAGCGCGACGGCAAGCGCGGCGATCTGGTGGTTATGCGGTCCGCCCTGGATGGAAGGGAATACCGCAAAGTTGATACGATCCTCGTAATCGTACTTCCCCGCTGGGCCGTCTGGTTTGGCGCTCGGCTTCGCCCCCTTCCGGTAGAAGATCATGCCGGATCGAGGACCCCTCAGACTCTTGTGAGTTGTCGTCGTCACCACATCACAGTACTCGAACGGACTTTCCGCCTCTTGAGCAGCCACCAAACCGCTGATATGCGCCATGTCGGCCATCAGGATGGCCCCGCATTTGTCGGCAATCTGCTTGAAGCGCGCGTAATCCCACTCTCGAGGATATGCGCTGCCTCCGCAGATGATGAGCTTCGGCCGGAAGTCAAGCGCCTTATCCTCCAGCCTCTCGTAGTTCACGTAGCCTGTCTTCGGATCCACCTTGTACGGCAGCGACTCGAAATAAATAGAGGTCGACGAAATCCTCTTCCCCGCAGCCGTGTAATAGCCGTGGGTGAGATGACCGCCCGACGGAAGATCGAGTCCCATGATGCGGTCATGGGGCTGGAGGAGCGCAGTGTACACTGCGAAGTTCGCCGGACTGCCGGAATAGGGTTGCACATTGACGCCCCACTTCTCCGGGTCGAGACCGAAAGCCTGCAGAGCGCGGGAACGGCACAGATTCTCGATCAGATCAATGAACTCGTTACCGCCATAATAGCGAGCGCCGGGCATACCCTCCGAGTACTTGTTCGTCAGCGCGCTTCCCAATGCCTCCAACACCGCCTGCGACGTGAAATTCTCCGAGGCTATAAGCTCAATTCCCTTCCATTGCCTTGTCTTCTCCTTCTCGATCAAATCACTGATTTCCGGATCAATCTCTACAAGCGGCGCATTCCCCCAACTGGAAACCGCCTCCATCTCACCCACTCCGCTCATGATCCTCGCAGCAGAGTCCTCTCCCTTGTTCATCTTCTTCCTTCTTCTTCTTCCTTCTCCTGCTTCTTCCTTCTTCTTCTTCTTCCTGCTTCTCTCCCCGCTCTGTGCCCGCGTCCTACCTACGTCCGTTCCTTGCCGCAACGATTAACGCTACGACACAACACCTAGTCCGGCAGACCGGACATTACGACCAATTCCACCACACGAGCGCTCAACTACAATTACTCGCTTTGTTGAAGTTGTATAGAATATATGGTTTGCAAGGAAGAAAACCCTGTGATTGAGGAAGAAAAGGATTCGAATCGAACAATACAGGTAGCAGAGGACAACGAGGAAGAGGATGGCGGTTCACGCACAAGCGCGGGCAAATTGACCAGGATAAGGAATGGAAAAAAAAAAAAAAAAAACGGAATGAAAAAAAAAAAAAGGAATGACGCATGTACGATAGAGCAAAACCTTCGCGTACGAGCGCGAAGCTCTTGCGCCTCTACCCGCCACTCCCCGCAAGCGTTGCCCAGACGCCGCGGCGCGCGGTCCACGGCGCACGTGTTTGCTGCCCGTCCTCAGCTCAACTCGGCGTCGCTAACCCTTGTCCTCGTCCCACCACTAAGCACAGAAGAAAGGGGTAAAAAAAACGCGAGTGCATCTTTCCTTATTCCAGGGGGAGATTCGCTCGCTCTCTTTTCATTTGATTTGATGGGCGAGTGTAAGACGAGGCCGCCTATTTTGCGAAAGCAAAACCACAGAGCCAGAGAGATTGGAGGATGTCCGAGCCTCAGTGGACCTAGTCTATCACGAGGATTTTTCTGTATGTATCTGATCGCAATTACGGAGCGATATGGAGGAATCTGACCAATGGATTAATGGCCAGTTAGGGCCAAGCCACCTTTTTGAGGCCCAATTCAGTCAGTCCAGAACGTCCATTGTGTTTGCTGCATACGGCCCAAAGCACCGGTCCGGAGTGCCACATACCACGGACTAAGAGACAGTGGCCGTTGATCTTCGTAACGTCCGGTCCATCCCTAGTGATCCTGGCAAGTACGATCGGGAACGATTTTTCCAGTCCAGAACAAGCCGCCTGATTGCACGGCTCGCGAAAGATGGCCTCGCATGCTCACATTAGCAGTTTTTTTTGCTAAATCGCAAAATCTGCTATGCTGTTAGAGTCACACTAGGGTTTTCCGACCACCAAAATTGCAAACGGGGTAGCATTTGTCAGCGGCCTGGGGGGCCGCGGGGATGGGCATTTTGCTACCTCGAGAGGCGGTGGCAAATTCTCTTTCCACATAACTTTCTTTTTCTTTTTTTTTTCTTTTTTTTTTTTGAAAAAGCTATTCTTCTCTCAATTTCACCTCACACTACCTACCTACGACTACTATCCTAATTGTAGGCATACGGGGAACCCCGTAGCAGCCAGAACCGTGTTCATGAGAGGTGGACCCCACCGGACGGCAGCTGGAAAACCCGCGAGGCCATTAAAAACGGCCCACCGTCGTTGGAACGTGTTTGGGAGATTTTGTTGGCACCCCACCGCAACCGCGAACTTTGGCATTGGAAACGGACGCACTTGCCCGAATAGGGAAACTTGAAAGGCCAGGTCTAAAACAGGAAAGTTCGGTAGGGGCACCGGTCCATGGCCCGTTGTGGTTGTCCGCAGCGGCAACGCAGGTCCAAAAAATGGTCCCATCCACCGCTGCGTCTTGCCGTCTGTCCCTCCGATGCCATCGGAGAACATGCCCCCCCCCCCTACTCTGCTGGGGGCCATGTTTGGAAAAGGAATGCTGCGATCGGGCAGCGATTTTCCAGACCGCCGACCATGTAGAAACGCCCCGTCAGCATTTCGGCAACCCCTTTCCATCACAGGTCGGGTCTAGAAATCCTTTCCGAAGAGGCTTTCCACACCTCTTTCCATCACCGGTGGGGTCTCCAAAACGATCAGGCGCTTTTTTTTTTCCATGCCGCCATCCGGTGGGGTCCACCTCTGAGAGAACATGTGGCGGCTCCTCCCGACCTGCAGGTGGGCGATACTTGCTAGGGGACAACCAGTACTTGCAAGAATTAGTTCTTTTCTATAATTTGTTAGACCTGCGATTGGAGATGGGCTCACTCTAGCAAGAATTGGTTCTTTTCTATGATTTGTTAGACCTGCGATTGGAGATCGGCCCGTCTGAGAGTGCCTCGCCCAGCTCCACGTCACCGTAGCAAAAATGTAAGGGACGTGGGAACGGTTTTCCGGCTAAACCACCAGTCCCCCCGCTGTCAGTTAGGGTCGGGTTGTACAGAGGGGCGGCGACCGTTCGTCACCAACGGGGCCAATCCCGCCTTTTTCAAGCAGCAACTTTACCGATTTTTTGTGCTCCGGAGAATTCATAACAATGTTCGAAAATTTGAGGGTCCGTAAATTAGGTCGTGATCTTTCAAGGAAACATATTAAAAAAAAAAAAAAAATCATTTTGACCGCGAAATATTCACCGCGCCGATTCGGTGCATTTTCATTTTTTGCCGCAAATTCCATTTTTGAGGTCCGCCTGGTTTTCCACTCTATCCTACTGGTACCCGCGTGAAACAGCGCTACCGGTACCCCAGAGGTTTCTGACGTCAATAATGAAAAGAAAGTTATATGGAAAGAGAATTTGTTACGACAAAAAAAAAAAATTGCCACCACCTCTCGAGATGGTAGCAAAATGTCCATCCTCGTGGTCCCCCAAACCGTTGACAAATGTTACCCCGTTCGTAATTTTGGTGGTCGGAAAACCGTAGTATGACTATAACACCATAGCAAATTTTGCGATTTAACAAAAAAAAACGTTTGTGTGAGCATGTGAGGCCATCTTTCAAAAGTCGTGCAATCAGGCGGCTCTGTGGCTGAAATCCCAACTCTGCCGCAACAATTCTGACTGAAGTTTATTCCTATCCTATTCTTGTCCTATTGTATGATACAATTAGAAAAAAAATAGCTCAAAAACACCACTCAAAAAAATTTACAGAAAAAAAGGAGCAGAAAAAAAAAACCTTGGAAATTGTCCTGCAGGAGAATTTAATGTAAAAAGATCCGGACAAGCTCCCGATCTGCACCCGAAATATTTTAAGGTTTTGGTTGTGTAACCCTTCTTTTGTACTGTGTACTTCTAGTTTTTCAAGACAACTTGCTTTATAGCGTACTCGATTTATGCTCTCACCATTGAAGGCGTAAGACGTTCTTCCCTTCTCACATCAACATTTCGACGATTCCATATTGTTCATACAATGGCGGCTCGAATAGTTTCTTCTGAATGGGTCAAATGATCAGGGGGTGATCGTCTTCTTCAAGCCACCCCCATCAACACAAACTGATCTCCCACCCTGCAGTTCCAGCAAGTGAACGGCATATCAATTGTTGCTTCATAGTTATCGACTCTCCAAATTAGGTTTGGTTCCTGATGGCTCTTGTGCTTGCACCACATGCCCATCATGGACATCACTCCCCGACTCATTTTTTGAAGTCAATCTAGGGGTACAACCAGTTGCAATTGGTGCAAGTGTTGATTTGATGTCACAATCTAATCAATCTCGGACTGAGGGTGTGAACAGGTCTCCAATCTGTTGTTGTTACATCCCATATGTCAGTTAGCGTACCAATTTTTTTTTCGTCTTTAAGGAATCGGTAAAAGAAAATTTTCGCGCTTTGTGACCATGCGAGGAACTAATTTTGCAATTGTCAGAGAGTCCCGCTCGTGTCCTTTCTAATGTGCAACCCATGTGCCACCGGGCGAGGTATGATTTCAACAAACATGGAAAAAAAAATTCAGCAGATTTTGTTAGACTGTCATCATTGTGTGAGTACGCCCTTAGCAAGCAAAAAGAGAAAAAATAACGCTTGTCTCCAATACATGGTCCGGGGAAATAGACACGCGGTCGAGTCGGAACCAGACAAACTGTGCATTCGTGGTTCTGAACCAAGGGTCGCGATAACTCCCCATTGATTGCGGGCTCACTCACAAGATGTGACTTCTTCGATTGGTCTTTGGTTGAAGTTGCGGTCGAATTCGCAGCCCTAAGGGATGGAGTATGGTGCGGTTCAGTTTGTGTGTCAAGGTGCCCAATTTTTTGCAACGAAGACCACTCAAAAATTGTTCAGTACGGGGGCGCGGGGAACCCAGCCCAATAGTAGCGAAAGCAATGAGTGCAAGAGAGAGAGAGACTTAATGGCAATAATGGAACATGGGTGAAATTACGGTTGTGATATATTTTGTGGATCGCTTTTTTTTTTTGTCATATTTTTTCTGGAAAGATCACAACAAAATCTATGATCACTGCAATTTTCATATTTGTTTACACATTCTTCTGAGTGCGGAAAATCCCAGAAGTTGAATAAATTTTTCCTAAGCCCGACACATGGCTGAATGGCAAAAAAAAAAAAAATGTCGAATCGGCGAGACAATTATTTTGTGGGCGGTCTTAATGTTTTTTCAATTTTTTTCCGATATTTTTCCTGGAAGAACCCGACATGATCTGTGGATTTTCGAACTTTCAGATTTTTCTGCAAATTGTTTTAGCGTAAAAAATTATCAGTTACCTCTTGCAAATTGCAGGATTGGTCCCGTTGGTACGCTCCACCTTCGAAGATCTGCACGTGAGATTTCTAACAACGTCTCTCTTTCTTACTTCTTTTTGGGGTCCACCGCCACCCAACGACCAGTCGTTTCTTTTTCCAAACGTCCCGGTTTTATGAGAGCTAGATATAGGTCGTCTGCCATGCCGCCAAGAACCGGTGCCCTCAAAACTTTTTCCCCCTAAAATTTTAAACCCATTTGCGTCTTAGTCGTCAGCCACAAAAAACACGATAGCCTCTGAAAACGACTATACCACAACCTTAGGGTTGTGAATAGGGCATGTAGGGGTAGGGGTCAAAATGTCAATATGATTGGTCTTTTAGTGCTTGCGGGTGACAAATTGCAAAAGAGGTTGTGTTAGGGTGCCCAAGTTGAGTTGAGGGCAGGCAGCAAACACTTGCGTTGTGGATCGCTCACAACGTCGCGACAACGTTTGTGCACATTGGGGAGGAGAGGCGCAAAAGCTTCGTGCTCAACCGTAAAGGCTTTGCTCCATCGTACATGTGGAGGCCCTACCAAAAGATAATAATTTCAAGGGGCTGTTCTCACCCGTAGTGGCACTCGAAGGGACGCCCAACAATTTGCAAGATGCAACTT